CGTCAGTAGCTTGACCTTTTCAGGCTAAAAGAGATGAAACTGCCGAAATAACAGTCATTGTGAATAAATATTGTAATAACAACTTAATGTCTGCACATGAAGAATATAGTAAATTACTGAGGGGTTAATAGCAAGTCGGTCACGGATTTGTTAAATAGCGACTGCATCCCGGTTGAGATTGTTGTTCTTTGTGTATTCCACTTGAAGACCAGAAGTAAATTAAAAATGAGACGTACGCTAAAAGAATTCTTTAATCCACAGAAATGTTGAAGAACAAGGGTGGGAAAGTGAAGGAGCGATGGAATACTACTACTAAAAGCCTCATCACTCTGCCAAATAGAAACACTTCTAGTGGAGGATGAAAATGTTTGAAAACCGTTCTGATTCGCTCAAAAAATTGTGGTGAATCTATTAGAGAAAACCTCAGAGGTGATTTTGAGTAATATTTAACCAGAATCTGGTATATTTTGTAACAAGATGAAAATTCCCATTTGGAAAGACCTTACTTTACAATGGATGCTTTCGAATGCATGAATTCCACAGCTGGTTGTGGGTAGAGGCTGTAGCTTGTCAACTTCATCCAACGAATTCTGCACTGAACGTGAAACATGCATATGAGTCCCAAATATTTGGATAGGTATGGAAGAAGTGCACTCAACGACTATCAAATACGGGTCAAACAAAACCTTAAGCAAGTAAAATGAGTAAGCCAGTCAGTGTAACATGTACAGAATCCCCTAAATTCAGTAATTACAGAAACTTCTTGTTAATTACTTGACCACTTAATTAACTGATCCTCATGAAAAATACTGCGTGCATAAAATGATTCCCTTTTAACTGATTGTGAACAAATTTTCCCTTAATTTGGAAGAAGTTTACCTTGTCGCTAACGATTTCGCTCCAGAACGTCTGCAATTTCCGACGAACATCGAGATGTAGCTGTTAACTCAAATCGTAGCTCGCCGAATCGTATCTCACGTAGGTAACCATATCACACCGGTAATGACTTTGTGCTTAGATCACGTGTTTTTGCTAACAAAGCTTAAAATAACGCAACATCGCTCATTTTTGATGATGAAAACGTTCAAAAAGTTGACCAGCAGTCGGAAACCCAGGGGCTAAATAAGGAACAAACTAATTCTACCCACTTACAGATGAATCAGTATAAAAATCGTCTATGAAGCACAAATGCACACAACTTAGGCTGGTCACCACCTATCCGAGCCATATATATTCTGGAGAACGAGGCTATTTGAAGACAACAGACTTTTCACTTAGTGAATCCGATATTGGAAGTGATCACTGGTTTGAATTGTGTGAATTCAAGGTCGGATCATTCACAAGCCGTGGAAGGCAAACAACGAAGACGTGACAGGAGCTGCGAAATCAGTGAGGGAAAGTTAATATTTATCGCAACAACAATCGCTCTTCGTGGCACGTTCATCGTCGAGAACTCCCAATGGGCCACATCGGGAACAGCACTTGTTTAGACTAAACTGAATGCAACGATGGTGAATGTGAATAGTGTCGAGTGAAAATAGTATTGCATGACCAATTGGTGATAAGTTCATGGTCTAGTTGAATGCGTTCTCAAATCGTTCAATCGCTCGTTTCTGTTCTTCTGTAAATGGACCGCCTCACTGAACTCGTTTGGATTAACTCGTCGAGAAGGTAAATGTGATTTGGTAATTTGATACCAGGCACTGCTTCATCTTATCACATTTCTCACTAAGAAGAAATGAAATGTAAAGCTCGCCCCATGGATGGTGTAGGTTATTGTAACACTGCCATGTAAAGACAGGAGCCAAGCAAAATTACCTAAGCTCTAAAAATAATAATTGGACTGAATTTCATGTTTTAATACTAGGAACTACTTGCTAAATCTGATGTTTTTCTTCACTAAAAAAACAAGAGGTTATCATTATAGAGCTTATTACGATACAATAGCTGACGTTACGGCGGCTTCGCCTTCTTCAGAGCCTGGAAAGGTTAAATTGAGATGCGATCTACTCAGCCAAACACTTTCATAACCCCAGCAGATAAAACTTAACAAATAAATTTGCATTCGCATAGGAAACAACTTCATTTAAACACCTACCGTTTATTTGTTGTAAGTATTTAAGTAAGTTCGTGGATAGCAGCCCCACAGAGTAATACATGGGCGATAACTGTGTCTGTGTCAGGTCATTGGATTAGCCTGAGGTATGGCGCCAGGTCACGCGTGATAACAAGACACTCCTCCTTGCGGTTCATTTTTGAATTTTTGGAATTGATCCTAAGCGCTTCAAGAGTTTCACGCTCTGATGTTTTCGATTCCTGCGTGAGGATAGTGACTCCTACTTCAAAATCTTCTCCGTTGTGTTCCTGCATCCTGTGCGCGCATAGTGGAGTGTTCGGTTTTAATTTAGATTTGCCGACTAGGTGTTCTTTTATGCGGATACAGAGTGGTCTACCCGTTTCGCCAACGTATTCGTCCTCGTACGCTTTACAAGAGGTTAAATAGACTGTACTCGAACTCATGCAATCACCGTCTCTACCGTTAGGGCAAATTATGCAGTTTATGCAAATTATGCAGTTTATGAATTATGCCGAAACGTCAGCTATTCTATCCTAATAAATTCTACAATAACAAGCTCTTGCCTGCTTATTGAAGAAAAACATCGAATTATCAATCAATACCGAACTTAACAGAAAGTCGGTCGTGGGTAGTTGCTAAATAATCAAGTCGCTGAGTTAGGAGAGCAGGAAAATCGCATGGTGCAAAGGACTCAAAGTTGTTGTTTGTTAATCACGATCATGCGCCTTGAGTTCAATATGTACGGGCTATGCATTTCGGACCGTACATCTTCAATGTGCGTTCCGATTGTGCTCCAATAACAGCCGTTCGACGAGCTCGGCGGAGGAATATGGCTGAGGTTGTGGAAGACTTAATAATTTTCAGGTAACCTGTCTGCGTGTGTCGTGCAAATTACAGTATGTTTCTCGTTCGTTCCAGTTCCAGCTGTGTTACCATTGATTGTTATCCTTTACCAAGATAGACGTATAAAAGCGGTATACCAATAAATATCTATGGCTTACGAGGACCTTCTCCACCTACTCGCTAGTGTATCCGCGGTCGTACTACTACTCTAAAAAAACATTGCACAACATCCTTTTTTCCTATCATGGTGCCACCTATATCGTGTTTTTCTAAATACTCACTACTGTGTCATAGAAGGACACCACCTGCAAGGTTCTGATCTCCGAACTGCGATTGTTAATGTATTCTCGACGAAATTGGTTTTTAGACAGCAGATGATAATTTCTCCATAATATAGCATTGGAGATGTTGTGAACTTTACAAACATACAAAACAGATTTTTTTTTCGTCGCTTTAAGAATATATATTTTTTATAATCTTAACTCCTTTATTTACTGCCTTTTTCTTTTTAATGGCAGGGTATATTGCGAAATATAACTAGTATATAATCATGAGATATTTGCAAAACTCCTCTTATATCTCCATTAAAAAGAAAAAGGCAATAAATAAAAGGGTTAAGATTGTGATTATAACTCCGAAGCCTCAGCTTAACTGGGTTCAATGCCGATTTGGGCTCCGCAGATCAATCCCGTTGACGGGTGATTGCTGATGGCAAAAAAATCGATAAAACCAGCTGAGAGACAGGCAAAACGAAGGACCCGGATGGTGTGGTGGTGAAGTGCGCTGCTCCCCGGTAAGGACAACAGCCCGTGCTCGTTTCCCATCGCATACACCCGCGGTCCGGAGTTTTGCAAATATCTCAGCATTATATACGAGTTTTAACTTTTATAATAAAATATTTATCCAATTTCAAACTTGTTTGGAAATAAATATTTCAAAAAATTGAAAAATATCATTGACGGAAAACCGTGAAAGAGTGCGATATGTGGTGCCTAAGAAATCGGAATTTTATCATGGCAAGATAGGAATTCTCTCACGGTTTGCCACCAGCTGCTTCTTTTTTTGGAAAGGTTTCAAAACTCCACATGCTGTTAACTTTTTATTTGCTGCCTACTACAGTTTTTTTTGGTAGGGTATTATGTGAAATACAGCAGCAATGATGCAGAGATATTAGCAAAACTCCGGACCGGGGTTGTCTGCGGTGGGGAACGAATGCCCTATTACCTCTTCCGGTAACGCGTACACTACCATATCATGGTGTCCTTCGTTTCGTTTGTCTCGCAGCTAGTTTTCTGTCTACCGATGCCATCAGCAACCGCCCGTTACGGGATTGATCTGGGGAGCGCAAATCGGCATTGAACCCAGTTAAGCTGAGGCTATAGTTGAAATCACAATGTTAACTTTTCATTTGCTGCCTACCACAATTTTTCGGCAGGGTGTTATGTGAAACCCAATCGTAATGACATACACACAATAATACAAAATTATGGATGTATTTCACGTAATACGCTGCACAGGCTACTAATTTTTTGCTTCCAAAGACCTTTCAAATGATGGGAGGTTATACTTCGAGAAAGAGTCCTTCTGGCTAGCTTCATGCAACTCTTTTAAGATCATTAATCGCTGTTTTTTTCAATTCGTAGTGCTTTCTAAAATAAGTATTTCTCCGACTGATTTTTAACCTCTCAATGAATGGGCAAACATTTCTTCGGGAATGCTCTTCGAAGACAAGACGAAGATGTAGCCGCATCCACTGTAGTGTTTACTGATTTGGAGCAAGGCTCTCTTCAGGTCGTCGAATATGGATAATAATTTTCTTACTCAGGTAAGAACATGGATTCCGTAGAGAGTTCGGCTGCCTGAATCAGTCAATACTGTCGAATAATGAGTCAGGAATGATTGCTTTTAAGCTGATTCCAGGCGACTACGCAAGAAAACATTTGGTTAATACATGCGTCCAGAACTAATTGACTAAAAAGAGCTATTACACATTATTCCAGCACATCCACCTACTACCACCGTTGCATTATCCATCTTCTTCAACAACATGGCCACGGTTCTGTCTCAAGTGCTCTCGGAAATGGGATTCCCCAGGGAGGGCATCAAGACGTTGAAGACGAACACCGTTGTAGCACAGCTGGAAGTGATATCGCTCTCGTCGAAGGTGACATGTGTGGACGGACGATTTGTCTTCCACTATCGTCTTATCTCAAAACTGTTGTTTTTTCGAGAAGCATCAGTGTTTCATCGACGATGTCCGAAGGATGATGGGACAACGACCATTTCTCGCTTAGATGGCTGTTTAATGATTAAATGACGACGAAGGATACAATACGGATATATTTAAATAAGGAATAATGAGAGTGAGCTTTAAGACAAATAAGGAAAATTTAAGATGTTATTACGACATGGGTGAAATGACTGGGAAATAGCTCTAAGCACCGAAGTAGTGGGTCGATTAGCAAAATGTTGGATAGTAAATTGCTAAGTAGATGGATCAATGTGGAAATTTGTTGTCGAAGAGACAAAGATGTCGAAGGTGATGAAGTGAGTTGTCGACCGAATTCCGGTATTTATTTGATTAGAACAGAGCTATTTTTGTCTCCAAGCACAATGTTTTAAATTCCCATTTCATATTGAGTGCCTAATTCTTCTTTTCATTGTCTAGTTTAATACCAAGTTTGTGATCTTATTTTTGAGATTTCACCGACTTATGCTGCTATAGGGATGGGGTAACGCAGTATTCAATTATGTAGTTGAACCAGGAAGCAAAGGCGGTAGTTTGACCCTCTCTCCTACATTTTCCTCTGATCCACTTGTTAAAAGCTTTCTTAGGTCTACCTCCAAAATTGCAAGCAGAATCGACTCGACTAACATTCTACGATATTTATAAAGAAGATGAAATCCACAACCAGCAGCAGAAACAACGCGCGAACTCTTCGAAGATCTTTGTGGACGATGAATTCGAGGAAAACTAATCGAATGCAGAAAGTACTGAGATCCGCACAGTAATGATGGGTCACGTAGAATAAAAAGTTGATTTGTTATTTTGTTTTGCTACCTTACTAGCGATTCTATTCTAGATTTTAACCGGATCTTATGAGCACTTTCTCTGTGCAAATATCCGACTCAGCTATAAGCTGGAAAATAACGCTTGCCATTGTCCAAGATTATCGAAACAAGTCGTGCATAACGAGGAAATTCTTAATATAGCTCTATCCTCACATGACTTGAATATAAATGGGGATCCGACCAAGGACTACACGCCGATTGCCGAGGACTTAAAAGATGTGCCGAACTCGTCTCATTTCCTCAAACAAGAAGTTCAAACCGCACCTCTATCACCACTAAGGAGTTGTTCGAAAAGAGAAGAACACTAAAGTTTGATCCTACTGTAACACAGCTAATATGACTGATAATAAATATCAGCTGTAGAAGATCATTGCAAGAGGATTAACACCAGTGATAGAAAGAAAAGGTACTGGAAGCAGCTCAAAAACGACCCAGTCTGAAGAAGTCCCGTCGAAATCTTTGCAGCTATGATGTTTCGCAACCCACCATGATGAACGAAGATAGGGCTATCATTACATCCGTCACAATATGGAATTGACAACGGAAAGTCTTATGGCAGTACCTTAAGTTCCACAATCTCTGTCTCTGACCTCAAAATTCCCACTGATGGGAAACTTTCCGAGATTCTACCCTTTGAAGCTCGAGCTACGAGAAAAAACATGTTGAGAGGCAATGCCCTAAGACCCGATAACATCATGGTGGATTTCTTTAGAGCTGGTGTTGACAAACTACATGTGCAATTCGCAACCCGCGTGATGCCTTATTTTCAGGAAGAGAAGGTCCCAGACCAGTAAAGGACCTCGTTCACGCTCATTCTGCCCAAGAAAGGTGATCAAAGAAATCTTCGTAACCACGTCCAATACGCTTGTTGAGTGTACTCTACAAGATGCTCACGAAAATAATCTCGTGCATATCGAAGACCACGGATTAGGCACAACCACTTAAGAAGAGGATTCCGACAGCCATTCTGCTGCATACACCATATTCAAACCGTATTACGGGCCATAAAATTATGTCCGGAGCACTACCTGTTTTTTGTCCTAAAATTTTTCGACTACGAGAAAGCGTTTAACGGTATCGAAACGATTCCCGCCCTATCAGCGCGCGTAGACGAAGGAGTGGATCTATCCTATATAAGAGTACCATGAGACTGTTATAAGAACTGCATCACAAATATACAACTTTTTCATCGACCGCTCACCATACCATAAGAAGAGAGGTCCGACGCGGCGAGACAATATCGCCAAAGCTGTATACTGCCTTACTGCAATGGATAATTAAGTCACTCGACTGGGATAGGAAAGACATACGTATTGTTGAAAAATTCCTATCAAGTCCCCATTTCACGAATCACATCGTCATCACTTCGAGGAGTACCAATGAAGCAGAACAGTGCTTAATGGGCTCAACGAAGCGGGAAAAAAATTGGACTGGGAATAAATAGGACAAAAACCCAGTAAGTGAATAACCCTTGATGCAATGATGAACAAATCGAAATAGATGACTCTGTGATTACAGAGACCATCTCTTGGATGCTCAATGCATATGGAGAACAACATAAAGGAGGAACTATCAAGAAGAAGGAGAACAGCTTGGGCCGCATTCCGGCCTCTCAAAAACCCACTGACCGATTAAAGGACTCGAAAATCCGCGACCACCTTTTCGGTTCATCAGTCCTCCCTACGCTGTGTTATGCAGCATAGACGTGTTCTAATACTTCAACCACGTCAAGAAATCTGCGCAGCACTCACGGAGCACTTAAATAATGTTTTCTGAATTTTAACCAGCACTCAAAACGTCTAGCTGGAATGAGAAGCCTAAATATTCGTAACCTATTCCATCTTCGGCATCCAGGAAAATATACATCATTGGCGGAAGTTAGATGAATCGGACACATGATAAAGAACAGATGACAGATGGACGAAAACAACAGTGCAATGGAGTCTAAAAGAATGCAAGCGTTTTCTTAAAAGACCACCCAAAGGATGGGTGCACGAGTTCATGGTTAACGTCAACATCTGTACTGTACCCGAAAATGGCAACGATTTCAGATTTACGGAATGGCCTTGCCGACGTCACCGTGTTCGAAGCAGGCCATCGCCATGGAAATTTTGATGTGATAAAATTAAAGGATGTTCAAAGCACATCATCAGCGGGGAATTTATGGGAAGGCATTTTAACGAATATTTTAGCTTTGCTTTATTCCAAAAAGCATCGTAGAGGTAGATAGTTGACTTCATATTTGGCCCATAACGATGACTTGCGGGATTCCTGCGACCTGACGAGTTATCGATGTGCCAAGTTAAGGTTTTCTACAACGAGACAAGTCCGGTACCAATTTCTTAAGACCGATAGAGGCCTTGGCTTATTCTATGAGGATTCGAAACCAGAACCATAGCGCATTGCGTCACATCTAAGCAATGCGCTACAAGGTCTCAACGATATCGCTAAGGTATTTGTCAATGCGCCTTATCGTTTTATCCTTTGTATGGCAATATTAAAGAGGACACTGTGGAGCGGGACGGATAGAAAAACATCAGAATCATGTGTACCTACGTGAATAATAATAACAAGGGCAATAGTAACTTTTTTGAACTGTGCAATATTTAATACGCAATAATTACAACACAGAGTCTTCAAGTGGACCTCATTATAATAATGGCTAACGAGCAACGGTATTTATGTGTCTCACCTCCTTGGTTTTAGAGACGAAATCCTTCATAACCAGGCACAGCAACCTGCTCGCCACCTGTAAGAAAACGATTTCAAAATTGTTAGCATTTTGCTGAAAAGCAAACGATTGAACGACGATTAGACGACGGCACAGGAAAGGGTGTGTAATCGCATGAAAAAAACCATTACTTTACAACAGTAACGAGAAAATCCCTTCAAGAAGGAATTCAAACCGCTTGGAGCTGAGTGTTCAGAAGAGGTGAAGACGTCAATCGAAACGTTGATAGGGATGTCATTTCAGGTAATAGCTGTGCGCGTAGCTACTCATAGACTAAACGTCGCACTCCAGCAAATTTTCCTAATGTGCCCTTAACAACGATCTGTAACAGCGACTCGAATTTCTTCGAAGGATTAAAAGCTTCGTTATTTTTGCTCCCTATCACTCTATAATGGTGGCTCAATATTACGCATCACTTGAAAGACTTCTGTCTAATTCTTTACTACACATGACGAGAGTGGATAAGGAATTTAAGGATTGGCACTACATTGGACGAAGGAAGTCCGCAAACGGACTGAAATTAAAATCGTCTCATAACGATGAAATGGAAACGCCCTAGTACGGATTTCAGACGAATTGACTCAACCAACGTTCAAAGGTATCCATTGAAAGATGACCAAAAAATGGTCAAACAGCAGGCGAACTCACACGCAAAATTCGGGCACCTTGGCAGGTGCTAGATACGGGAAAACAAATTGAATGCAAAAAGTGCTGCGACAAGTATAATATGACATGTGATGTCGGAGAATGTAAAAGAAAAGGCTGCAAACAATTGCTTTATAAGCTTCTGGATAGCGAACGATTCAACACAACTGACCGAATAACCTCATTAGAACCTAAGAATTGAAAGCAATCTCTAGATGATCACGGACCAGTTGCATTCTTGCCAATCGCTTTCAGTATTCTCACAGCGATCGTCCTCTTACTCTAAATTAACGATGGTGGGTGATAATCACATATTCTGAAGCGATATGTCGCCGCAGTCGTTGAGGGTGATATCTACGGCTATCATTCACTGGGTATCAATTCCTGACATCTAGCTTAGTGCTTTTATATCGTCCACAAACGATCAGGTGACTAACTGCAGAACTCGCTGCTGTCACAAGAACTGGTGTCGTTTTGAAAGACTCCGAGTCGCTAGACAGTAAACTTACCTACGACCGGCAGAGGTAAAGGACTGCATGCAACATGCGAACGCTATAGCACGACTACATAGGTAGTCGGGTAAAATTGCCTTTGATCATTATTTGCCATGTACAACGGAAAACAGGTCCATAGATTCTCAAGGTGCGGCTGAATCCGCATCCGAACACGATCATGTCTCTAGATTACCCTCACAAGAAAATTAAGGAAATTCAAAATGTGCGCGGACCCACACAAGACGTAAAGATGAATCATCTAGCTATCTAATTAGGCAAGTGAGTTTTTGTTTGGATGGAGCTCCGTCGATGAAATCGGTCGTAACCATTTGTGAAGAGTAACTCCCAATGACTATTCATCTTCAGCAGGCAAAT